AAAGGAAAGATATGCAACCTGTAATTTTTCCCAGAGCCAACCTTTCCAACGTGGTTCCTTAATTTCTTATTTTCTTCTTCTCCACACCCTTTCACGCCCGTCTGGAGATCGAAGAGCGAATCTTGACTCATCTGTAAAAAGTACAGCACTCCATTCGTCCATGGTCCAATGGCTGTGTTCTCGAGCAAAGCCGTGTTACTCTGTGAGTTCTGGTCAACTCTGGTCCTCTTACTGGACGAGAATCGATCTAAGTTTTGAACTTTTAATATATAAACTTGAAAAATAACATATATTCTTGAAGAAAATTTAATTATTAAAAACTTTTCACCTCATGGCTTAATTGTGGAACGAACGAATCAATAGTTAGCTAGTAAAGTACAGTAAAAAAACAGGACGTGAACATTTTTTATTCCAAATTAGTGATAGTTTTGGACGGATATCTCGGAAACTAAGCGAGGTAGCGAATAATAGTATATAATTAATCATTTTAAAAATTTTATCTGCTTTAATTTTGTATAGAACGTCTTTGTTTATGTCATGGATAGTTTTCCTGATATAAGCGAAAACACGAAAAAATTTAATTTCTAGGCGCCCCTTCTAAATCTGGATCACCACCTAGGAATGGGGACTTTTAGAATGTTTACCTCCTTACTAGCTATCTACTAACTACTTATCTATGTTTTTGTTTCTAAAGGAATTACTTTAATATTATTGTTATATATATATATATATATATATATATATAAATATATATATTTTTTTTTTTTTTTTACAGAATACGAGAGGAATAATTCTTCAGATCCCCATTGGAATGTCTCAAACGCGAGTTCTGACGAAGACTTGCCTTCGAAAAAGAACCTTTCGACGAACACCATAATACAGCCACCACCACAACACCCTTCTTTATCCAACGAGACAACTCTATTTCCATACTCTGGTAAAATATACAAAAATTGTATAATAGAAAAATGAAATAAAAATAATGAAATGAAACTCCATTGTTAAGAAATTTGACATAAAAAAAGACTTTAATGCCCAAGACATTCAATTAAATATAGTTTAATAAATTTATGAATAAATATAAATTTTATTTAATGTTGGCTCAAGTTTCATATCTCTAGTTTTTATTACAGTTGTTTTTTATTTATTTATAATATTTATTTTGTTTTTGTTATTATATATATGGCGTGAATGAGTCTTACATAGCTCTAATACTGAATGCCCTTAAGTGGAGAAAAATGTATTATTTCTTATTAAAAAAAAAAAAAAAATTAATTGAAGATTTACTACAGAATATCTTGAATGCATAATGGATAATGTATACAAGAGTCATTCTATATCAACCAATTTTTTTTTTGACAGGAAGTTGTTCTAGGGGTGCGGCCAAATGAATAATATATATCAAGATAGTAATTTATTGTTGAAGCCGACGTTTCGACCCACTTTGTAGGTCTTCAACAGAGCTACAAAAGATTAAAAGAAAGATATATGGTGAAAAAAAAGGATTATTAGGGATATTAAACAAGGAACAGTTATCTGATAAAAAAATAATAAGATGACAACAGAGATATATGGTGAGAGTGCGGTTAAAGTATCAGGTATTTCGAAGATACAAAAAAAAATTATAGTTAATAAAAATATAAAACAAAGATGAATAAAGCGTGTAAGTTAAAAATGAACAGATTCTAATAAAAAATAAGATATGAGTAGATAACAAACTGGTGAAGGTTACATTTGATTACTGTAGGTTAACAGATAAAGAAAATGAGAGTTGACGAATAAAGAAATTGAAAACGAATAAGTAATGATCTAGTAAAGCTAGAATAAGAATAAGATATCAGTGGATAACCAGCTAGTGGAGGTTACACTTAATAAATGTAATTAAACAGATAACGAAACTAAAGGTTAACAAATAAAGAAATAAAAAAATTAATAAGATAACATGAGTGAATTAGTAAGCTGTAATATCGTTAGAATATATTTATAATTCTATAAAAAAAAAATTACAAGAGAAATTTAGAATGTAAATAGAAATGTAAACAAGGTAATGATGATGAAGAAAGGAAATTATATATGATATAAATGATTTTTTTTGTTTTTTTTTAAATCCATCCAAGATATTGGGACAAAGTCAATATACTAAAATACATATATTTTTACATTGAAATAACAATAATAAAATGTGACTTTTAAAAATCGATATTGTTTTCGTTAAAACATTCATGGTCTTAATTAATTTAGTATAATTTAAAATATTAAAAAAAATAAAATCATAATATAAATAAAAGGAAAAACACATTGTATATATTCAAAATAATTTAACTTTTTTCCTCATAGATTGTGTCATTATTCCTAGAAAACTCACCCATTAAATGTAATACGTCACACGATTATTTGTTTCCTTCTAAGTTTAGTTTTTCCTTGTTTACGTTAGCCTGTAAATTTCTATTTTCAGAACAATATAAAGCAAAAATTCAAAGTAGAAATTCATTCGTGAAGTGTGATAAACCGAAATCGAAATACGAATATATTGTTCGATTTTGATATTCATCTTGGCTTTAGATAAGTCCCACAAATGTAGAATGGTTAACCTAAGTTTTTTACTATCAGTTTGCTATAAATGTAATGTATAATAATGGAAAGTATTGCGATCGTGAAAACTTTAGAACCCTCAGTTCTGAATGGAATTATATGTATTAAGAATGCCACTGGATTACTATTGATGATAATCACCCAGAAATATTTAACAGTAAAAGAAATTTGGATCTATAATAGACTGATTGGTCCAGAATTAATTAATTGAATTTCTTTTCTCAAAGTCTGGTTTGTCTTTATCATGTTTTCTAATTACCAACATTACATGTGATCATCATGATATAAATGAGTGGCAGAATTAAAAATAACTTTATTTAAAAGTTTAATTTATTCCTAGCTTCAATAAAGTATAAATACAAATGACATGGAAATATTGATGTATAATATAATATTTACAAGAAACTAAATAATAACTTGATACTATATATTTCTTAAGAACTCTATGAAGGTATAGTTTGAGATTGAATGGTTATGTGGTTATGTGGTGTTGTTCTTTCATCACCGGTTCGAGGTCATCTTGTCCAGTCAAAGCTAAGCTCTAAACGCCGCCAAGAACCCCATCTCCTTTATTGTTGGTTTCTATTGGACAGAAAAAAACATAAGAGTCCATCTTGTTTCGGATTGGTGATTTTATACAAATAATCCAAAGTAGGGCAAGGACGGTTCTAATTGGCTTTCAACTTCGAGGGGTGTAAAATTATTTATTTATACATGTTATGGGTTCTTCACCTGGGTCATTTTCGCTCTTTATTACAATATGATGAATTACTACACACATAACAAAACTTTAGCTAAGAAATACAATTTGAAGTTTGAAAAGTTTAGAATAGTTACAGATGATTATGATAGAACAATTGAACTAAAATTATAAAAATTTAAAGTTAAAGATCTAATAGAAGATAAAATAACAGAGACAATAAAGATTAATGATATTAAGAATAAAAGCTAAAAAATACATTTTTAAATAATAAAAATAAATATTAATAGAAATTAAAGAATACAGTGTAAGTATTAAAAAGTACAAGAAACATTAAAGATTAGAAAAAGATAAGTTAACAGTTAACAAGGACTAGTGTTTCCCAAAATCGGTCTTGGTCTTGCACTTTGCAAGACCAAGACCGCGGCCGCCTAACTGTTGGTAACATAAACAGGACTGGTAAAATAAATCGATTTTTAGAATAAAAATTAAGGCAAAATAGTTAGTAATACTTGACAATCTTAGTTATTATATGTAAATAATTGGTATACCCAATATATTTTGGCATTTAACTCCTTTAATTTTTCATTCGGGCTTAGTTAGGTTTCTCCTATCTAAAAAAATACAGTAATATCTCTATAGCAATAAGCTAATAAGTAACTGCAAGGCTGTTGCGAGACTCTTGTGCAAGACCAAGACCATGACACAGACTGAATTTGCAAGACCAAGACTCATCTCGGTCTCGCGTTTGGGCAACACTAACAAGGACATTTAAATAAGAGGTTAACGATTTCAGGAATATAATCTAAAAATACGGTTTAAAAAATAAAATTAATATTACAAGAAGAAAAATTGAAAAACCATTATAGTTAAAAATTATGATTGAAAGAAGAAAAAATAACAGGTATATTTACAATTTGAAGAGGAACCTACCAAAATTAACATTTACAATTACAAGGTGTGATTAAATTTTGTTAAATGTTTTGATTTCCTTGAGGAACAATATTAATTTTTTAATAGAATTGGGGTCCTTTTGGAGTGATTCTTCAAGGCTATTTCTGGGAAGATGTTGATCCCTAGAAGATTGGAATGCATAACATTCGGTTAGGATATGATACACTGTGAGAGGTACCCAGCAGGAAAGACATTGAGTAGGAGAGTCTTACCTCATTAAGTACTCGTGATTAAGGCTACTGTGTCCGATCCTTAGCCGGCTCAGTACCACTTCTTCGCTTCTGGTCAGCAGGATATTTGGAGTGTGTCTCCGGACGTATGGCTCCAAGTTATTTGCCAAGCCAGTCATCATTTTTCTTTGATTAAGGAGACAAATTCAGAAGGTTGAGTGGTGATTATTGAAAATTTTTTGAACTGGCAACACCCTAAAGGGGACCAGTTATTTTGACCAGTTACCGGTTACTCGGTTAAGTACCTGCTTTCCTTGACGCTGTATGTGATGTCGGTACAAGTTTTTGGTGTCGGCTTCTTTTAACAGACCCTTTTTCTTTGTTTCTATTGTAGGCATCTCAAATTAAGTTCAAAACATTTGCTATGTTTGAGACACAGAAGTCTATGTAGTCCAAATAACCAAGTCCCACAAAATGGTCTGTGTATTTATGTCTATGAATGGTACAAAATTGAACTTGACAATTTTTATTTTGCAGAATATGAGAACACTAATTCTACTGAGGTCTCGAACACTACTGCTGATGAACATGATCCTTCAGTAAAGAATCTCCCGAGGAACATCATGAGACTAACACCAAGGCCACCTCCGAAATTAGATAGAGCTGCTCTCATTGACTCTTTCGGTAATTTATTTACATAAACCATTATATAATCTTCTATATATATAAAAATGAATGTATGCCTGTCTGTCTGTCTATTTGTCCTTAGTGCATTACTAAACCATTTAACCGATCTCCATGAAACTTTGGGAAGTTGTTCCGTACACTCCTGGGAAGGTTTCTGGCATAATATTTCTGTCTTAAGATAATTTTATATATGCAAAAAAAAAAAAAAATGTAAATGTTTTTCTGTTCAAAGCCGCAAAAAAATGTGTCGTTATAAACTGTAACGCCAAACCGATTTTAACGAAACTTGGCTAAAGTCTTCCCATTGAAACCCTTTTAATTTATGTCTATAACATACTTTTCCGAGAACAAGCTGAAAAAAATATTATGATGAATTCAATATTCTATTTGCCGATAACGAAAAAAGTACACAATTTTTGATTGGTAATACCCATATTTATTTGAAATATTCCTGATCTGCCGACAAAAAAAAAAATATGTCATTGAAATAGATAATCATTATCTCCGAAATAAAGATATTTCTAGCGGCCGTAGGAGTAAAGAGGGTTAAATTATTTTTTTAATGAAAAGCAAAGTTCAGATTTGTATTTCGCACCTCAATAAATCCTCAAATACCAATTTTCACTGGAATCGAAAATATTTTTTTTTGTCTCAAATTTTCGTCAAGGGTGGGGACCTTCAATTTTATTTCGGAAACTACAAACAGTGTGATAACTTAATAATGGCTCCACCTATAATCAAGAAAATAATCAGGGGTTAGGACCGACGTAAACTGCACAAACTGCAACAAACCGTACCCCCGCAAGCATATTAGAAGTGGAGATAAAAAATTAAAACGCATTAGGAGATTTTCTTTATTTATTCCTCATGAAGGCGTTAAATCTAAAAGTTTTCGATATGGTTTAGAAGAGCAACATCTCAGCCATTTTACAGAAAAATTTGTTTCCCAACTTTTTAAAAATGACACATGTCCTTTGCTACTAATCGACTCATATGTGCTTTCTATTTTCTTTCATTTTGATTTTGCCAGGCTAAGACACAGCAACGCGTGGCCGAGTAAAGCTAGTATAAAATAAAATATAAAGGTTGAAATGGAAATCGATTGTTTAAAAACTTGATATGAAAAAATACTCTAATGCCCAAGACCTTTCAGTTCAATCTAGTTTAATAGAAAAACTCGATGCTATATAAATAAAACATGAGAATCATTCTATATCGAATTATCAAGAATTTTTTTTTATATTAGAAAAACATCGATGTACCGAAATATATATATTTTTATTTTCAAGTTAATTTATTATTAGCCATATTTACACCAATTTTTAAAAAAATTGTTGTCATTAAGTGACAAATTTTTTTTTAAAAGTTGGTGTAAATATAGCTAATAATAAATTAACTTGAAAATAAATAGTATGCACCGAAGAAGAAGTCAGAAATATTGTGTATATATTTTTATCGATATTAGAACCCGACTAGCAAAAGCTATTAATGATAAAAGGCTTAGCGAATCCAAAGGTTCGATGCCGACACTACCAATCGCTGTCGAAGAACCACCCTCGTCATCCGAATCCAGTCCTGCAGGATTAGCTATAACGCAATCTTCCCACCGTCGCTTCGTTCTACTCATCGGGCAATTACCGATCGCCACAGCACATATTAACCTTTTAGGAATTACTTCTATGTTAAGCCTAACAATTTTGCATGATCACTTTATTCGCTGCAATGTAATTATCTCAATTATATTAACCAGATACAATTTACGATATCTGGCATTGTGTAACCATCTAAATTCTCCTGTTGACCCAGCCTTCTTCGGTCTAAATATTTTATTTTCAAAAACTTTAATAAGTAGCTCATCGCTTAATGTAAGAAGACACGTTTCACTTCTATAAAGAACCGTAAGTAGGACATAAACCGGACACCGTTATTTATCAAAATTGGAAAACAACGACCAACGATAGCTGCTTTACAATTAGGCATAAACTAATAAATGTATATATATATATATATATATATATATATATATATATATATATATATATATATATATATATATATATATATATTTATTTATTTATTTATTAATTTTAATTTATTTAGACATATAATAATCTGTCTCGTTGACAAAAATTATAGTGATATATGGACACACCACACCATATATACGGAAAATATAAAATTAACAAAAGTAAAATAATAACTAAATAATAATAATAAAAAACTATGTACAATAAAAAATAAGATCAGTAAATTAAAAACATAAAATCAGGCAAGGAACCCCAAGCCAAGCTTCTTCCTCCAACTATAGAAGGAAAATCAGGACTCTAAGAGATCCCTGCGCTACTCTTTCAACCGCATCACTGGTGCTAAAGTATATATTTAAATATGATGCCTGATAAATAATAATTTAACTTTTATTTTTTGTTTTATGTGTTTTTTTCTTCTAGGTTTTATTCATTAGTACCTTATTCATTACATTATTTATTCAGTTATGATTCTGTTCATTATTATGTGTTGAGTTTATTTAATTTATATTTCTCTAGTTCTTAGTTTTCTTAATAAGTCTTTTTAATTCTTAGATGATATTATAGACCTGGAGTCAGGGCCGAAAAAGTAGTATTTTCAATATTAAATTTTCAACCTTACGTATTACGAAAACGCTCGTCTGCCTTTTCAAGAAGTTTAATTTAAGATTTCAGGAGCATTGGAATCCATTAAAGAGTTCAAAATTTAGTGAAATGTTAAGATAATTTTCTCTTGGTCGCGTTAAGATACAATTTTGAATAATGCGCCATAACGAAGAGAATGAAATGCTGAACATTTCCCTTGCTCATATGTTATGCAGGTCCGAATTTTAGTTTCTAAGTTCATCAATATTTCAGAAACTGTAATTCGGACCTGCATACTGTAAGCAAGGGAAATTTTCGGCATTTTATCGTCTTTGTAATGGCGTATTATTCAAAATTTTATCATAACGCAACGCCGAGTCGGAGCGGTGAAAATGGAAAAAATAATGTCGGAAATCAACCGATAACGAATTTTATTGAATATATAGATTAAAATATCTTAGAAACTAAAATTCGGAACTGCATACTGTAAGCAAGAGAAATGGTCAGCATTTCATCCTCTTTATAATGGCCTTGTTTATGCGAAGCTTTTTGTGCCCGATTGTGTCGTTGCGGCGAGTGGTGGGGGAATGTCAGATAAGATTTGAAAGATAAAATTTAAACAGCTACCGGCAAGACTGGCCCACTACATCCCAGATATCCACGGAGGAAAAAGCTAGAAGACTTGAGGGCCCTCAGGTAAAAAGATGTCTTAGCAAGCATAAGTCGATTTAAATTTCGATCTTTCTGATGGATTTAAATACCCCTGAACCACTAAAGCGACATGTCTGAGCTAGCAGACAAGCATTTTCGTAATACCTAATATTGTTAAGCTAACTGGAGTACTATCAGTGAGTTAGGTTGAAAATTTACTTAAAATACTACGACTTTTTCGGCTCTGGCTCGTGATATGCTAGTTATTTACTAAAATGATATTATGTATATTTTCTTTATAACGTACAATTTATTTTTTCTAATTACTTTATAAACCTAACATATTTTACCAACTTTAATAGCGTTCAGGGCTTTCTGCTTGTCTGTGGCTGTTTCTTCCCAGTTATCAGCATGTAGCACTCACTGCACCATCCTTGTTTTTTCGATCCATCCATCTGGTTCTCCTACTTATATTGACTACTATTGAGGTAACCATTGAGTAGAGGCTTCTTAATGGATTACACCGAGCTACAACTTAACCTCCTTGCCTTCGTATCATGAGGTATTGATTGACCTGACATGAGATAATAATATGCAATTTTTTTTTTCCTTACCTCATACAGTAACCCTGTATGAAGGTCGTGTATTATTAATTTTACATGTTTCATGCATACTTGTATCAATTAAAGCAAGTATTACAGTTTTTAAAAAACTTATAAATTATTTTATTATATTTATAATATAAAGTTCAATTTTTCCTGATGAATATTAAAAATCAAAAATACATTAGAAAATTAAAAAGAAACCATGAAAGAGATAACATAATTAAAAACAAAACTTATTTAAGATAAGTTAAATTGTGTTAAATATGGCCGCTAGCACACTCAATCTTAACGCAATCTGGGGTATTGTAAAGTGGTGCTAATTTCGTAAACGCACTGAGAAGGTAATAATGAGATATTGATGTCGTATTTAGTTCTTCGTACAATAGCAGTTTACCAATAAATGTCTGTACCATATATGTTTAGCGTTACAATAAAAATGTTAAGATTACCAGAATATCGTTTCGCTCTCCCTCAATAATTTGAAGTAAAAAAATAAAATAAAATTAAAAATAAATAAGCTACATGAATGAATAAAATATGTAAACTAAAATCGATTACGTCGTCTAGTCCTTGGGCCTCGTAGTAGGTATGTAACTATTTTATTGTTACAGAAATGTTCTATTTTAATTTTCATTTATATTCAAATATAATAATATTTGTTAATATATAATAGCATTTTATAATTCATTTAATTCTCAATATTCTTATCATATTTTCGAAGGAAAACTACTTGGATAATTGTTGTATTTTTATTTGAGGTTGTACACACTACAAAATTAAAGATATTTTCACTTTCTTACATTATTAATTTTTAGCTGGAAAAGGTCTAGAAATATACCAATGTTATGAAGGCTCCCCTGTGTGAAAAATAAAAATCCTCACACCTATAAAAACATACAAATAAATTAATTTTAAATATTAATATTATATGAGTTTGTTTTAAAAACTTTATAGAGTGTTAGTTTGTTAGTCAAAGATAATTTAACACCCTATAAAGTTTTACTAAAACCAATTTGGACTTATGGTATAGAACTGTGGGGTTCTGCTAAAACTTCTAATTAAAAAAATCCAGTCTTTCCAATCCAAAATTTTACGAAGAATAGTTGACGTACCATTTTACGATAAGATTGTACATCCCAACAATTTCAGACACTGCAAAAAAACACTACAACAACTTTCACCAAAGACTAACTTACAACACAAATCCTCTGATAAAAAACCTTAAAAGCACTAGAAACCCGTACAGCCCACCTCAACGATTACGTAGGCGGTGGCCAAGAGACCTGCTGAACTAAACTATTTCCTGGATTGTAATGGAACGCTGTGCAGATGCCAAAAAATTTGCTCATTGTTAAGAAATTTGCAGATCGCAAATTTAATTTTTTTAAGTCCAATTTATGTTAATAAATATATATGTTAATAAATATCGTTTTAAAATAATTATATTGAATTTTTACACATTATAATAACTCCCACCATTTTTTTTTTTTTTTTTTTTACCGTGACTCCCAATCAAAATCGACAATCTGTGCCTATGGTATGTACGATACCAGAAACAATTATACAGATATTGGGTGATTTCTTGGTGAAAACACAGGATAGTATTGAATTCCATTTAATAAAAAATTAAACTGGTATCAATCAACCAATGAGAAGACTTCTTCCGTAATCCAAGAAGAAAATTTCCACTATATATCTTTGTCCTGATAGCCAATAGTTTCATCAAGTTCTATGTCTTCTTAATCTTAATGCATGCCTTTTATTAAATCTTTAAAAAAAAAGTAATCCAGCAACTCTGCCTTTTTATTTCGCTTTGGCATTTTAAAAATAAATTAAAACTTTATTAGATCGATCAAACAGGAGAACGTACAGACTTTGTTTACAATACTATCATAACCTAAATATAACTAATAACACTTTAGCAGACTTATTTATCATTCATTTAAGAGAAATTGGTTGACCATTCTCATTGCTCTGATTTACACCTTTGGAGTCAGCTTTGTTTTTCTTTTTCTCTTTCTTATTTCAGCCTTTTCAGTTTCTTTCCTCTTTTTTAACTCTTTATTATATTATATGTTGTCTGTACATCTTGATAGACTTTACAATATCTCAATTTTCTATCTAACTATTCTATTCGCAATATCGCAATTTTACTATTTATTCCCATTTCTTATATAACTTCATATTTTTCTGTTTAACATTTTATTCTAAGATTCCCATTTTAACACTTATATCACCTTTTTTGATTATGTTTACTTCATCATTCCACACTTTATATCCGGTTATTATTATTTATCTCTTAGTTCTTACTATTGTCATTATACTAACAACTGCATTTTACTTTAATTTTTTTACCTACGATACTTATGTTTCTCATACCTTGTTATCTGGTTCTTTTCTTAGGCCTGATGAAGGCCTAAACTTCAGGTCGAAATGTCGGCAAATGTCAAAATATTATCATTTATAAATGTAAATATTATCATTTATTTTTGTCTTCTTATTTGACTGATCACCCCAACTATTCTTCTCTTCTATATTTATTTTTATATTTTCCAATGTTTTCCAGAATGTTCAGATATCAATTAGGGTTAAGAAAAGATCAGATAACAATATGAGAAACTATTAACTTATGAAAAAAAAAAACTAAGGTGTTGTTTATACCACACGATATAAGTGAAAACATCAACAAATCGAGATTGATAATATGAAATATAATTTATAAATAATAGCTCATTATAAAGAAGATGAAATGCTTAACGTTTCGCTCGCTTACAGTATACAGATCCGATTTTTAGTTTCTGAGATATTTTAATCCACATCTCGAATAGAACTCGTTATCTTGTGGTTTTTAATACCATTATTGGTTCTCCCACTTCGACTATGGCTGTCTGGTGTATGGCGGACACTCGGAAGAATTCGAGGCCAAACTTAAACGCCTAATGAACTGCGCAATAGGTTTTGTTTTCGGAATCTCAAGAGATGCGCACTTCAACCCAGTATTACACAAAGTTGAAGTGGCTCTATCCTTCCTATCGCCGTCTGTACTTCCTTGCTTCCTTTCTATATCAAGTCATCAGAACTCAGCGACCTTCCTATATTTTTGACAGCCTACAATTCAAATATTCCATTCAATCCCATCTCACTAGATCTCGTACATCCGACCTCTATCCACCTCCCCACCGAACTGCAGCGTTTGACAAATCCTTTATAATTCAAGCCGTCTCCTTCTGGAATACGACGTGTACAATCAGTTTCCTCATTTAAATCTCTCCTTTTTAACCACCTACTCCTTTCCCAAGCCGATTGATCATGAAATGTAGATAAGAGGACTTTTAAAGTTCCACAGAAATGATTTTCTTTACTTATGCTATTTTTCACGTTTGTTTTATACATATCAGTTATGTTTTTAGTGTAATAGTTCTATTTTTTGTTTTATTCTTTTTCCAAAATCTAAGTCTTAATAAGAATTGTAAATAATTAATTTTATGTATGGCCACACAGGCATTTATTCTGTAACTGTAATTACTGGATAATAATCAGTATAATAAAAAGAAATATTTTCATTTCATTTCATATTATTTCCTTTTCGCCTTCCTAACATGACGTCGCGTTAAGATACAATTTTGAATTATAGCGAATTGCAGAGAAAATGAAATGTTGAACGATTTCTTCGCTTACAGTATGCAGGCCCGATTTTTAGTTTCTAAGGTATTTTAATCCATATATAAACATGTTTTAACTAGTCGACTCTAACCGACTTTACCCGAGCGTTGAAATCTGACGGATCAATCTAATTCACTCTCCACAAAAAAGTGCAAAATAATCCTAAAGAAGTTTTCAATTAAAAAATAATAATAATATAATGAACATATGAAAAAAATAATAATAGTAATAATCTATAAAATAGAGAGAAGGAAAACTATTATTAAAAGAAAACTGTTATTATTTTTTTTCATATGTTGGTTACATTATTATTATTATTATTTTCATAAGTTAATAGTTCTTTATATTGTTATCTGGTATGTTCATAAAGACCAAGTGTTGAAACGTCGGCAAATATAAAAGTATATATCATTTATTTATTTTTAATATTATTTTTTTTATTGATCACCAATTTCTCTTCAGTTATTCAATACTGTCAACCATGAATCCAGTTTATTATTATTTATTTATAATTTTTGTTGCTGGCCGTACATATATTATTATAGTAAGGCTCGAAATCGGTTTTGTACAAAATATAAGCTCTTGTCATGCTCAAATACCACGAATGGGGTACCGTTGGATTCAGAATTTCACGGGGGGTTAGCGAATCGTATTCTCTACTTTTGTTTTTCTTTCTAAAATAAATAAAGTCGATACAAACATTTTGCTAGGCTTCGATACTGGAACGGTGGTAGGTAGATTTTGATGCGTACAGCAAGACCCGGATAGTTCCTCGGAACTATCGGATCCTGCGTTTTTAAGCCGAAAAACGTACAATTTTCGAGATAACGCAAGGCATAGGATTCGCATCCATACAGCCTTACATTAATTGTAGTACTGTCTTTGAATACATGTCTCATTTCGTCGACTTGAGGTCTCTATGATCCAGAGAGGAGGAGTTTATATTATTCATCGATGGTGTTTTTGATCGGAAAGCCATATCATCGTTAATTTTTCACCAAATCTCAAGATTGAGGCACCAATTTCGAAGGCTTCCTTCTCCTTCAGGCTGGCAAAATAGTCCAATCACCCAGTAAAGCAAACAAGTTATGAAAGAAAATAAACTTTATTTGCGAATAACTGAAAAATTACACACTTTTCTCTCACTTTATGCACATGATTGTATAAAAGTTTACTAAATTCCCTACAAAAGGAAAAAAAAATCATCGCAATCGGACAATTTTTAGCAAATATACAGCTAACTGAAATTTGTTTACATGTTGGTTCCAAACAAAAATGAATATTTGAGTTAATTTTTGTTTGCTTTGTGGATTATATTTATCGATGAAGTAACATTTGATTTCTTAATCTTTTGATAAGTTGCATTTTCTTATTAATTTGGCTTTTGATAACAATATGATGTGCGAATTTTTCGCACGGGCCTACTAGTGGTAAATTATTAAGCGTACATGGTTATAAGCTGCATGAGTTATCCTAGTGATTATATTCAGTTTTTTTTTTTTAAATATTTTTATTTAAAGATTAAAATGTATTAACTTTTATTTTCAAAAAATGATTTTATTATATTATTTCTCTTAATATTATATGATGCATTTTATTTGTTTTTTTTATTTTTTTTAGGATTAAGGGATGCCTGGAACAAGTTGAATATGACAGACGAAAAATTCGATAAACTTGCAACTAGTACTATTGACTGTATGTATTCAACAGATCAGCTTAATTTATTTAAGTAGTCATTAGTAGGCATCAAGATCTAAAAAAAAGTTTCTATAAACAATTTCCCAATTTCCAGCAGAAGAGGAGGAAATTTAAGATTTGTGTTTTTTTAAGCGAGTCACTTTTTTTTTGTTGAATAGAAAACGAACTAACGTTGCTCCATAATCAACAAGACAACTATTACCATAAAAAAAAAAAAAAAAGAGTTTATCATTGTTAAAACTATTTAAAGAGGACTTTTGGGCACACAAACACTGATAAGTTCAGTTTAAAAAAAGTTATAAATTATTTGTGATTTTTTTTTATCATCCTTTAACTATACTATATTTACTCAACTTTAAAAAAAAATGCTTTTTTTTTTTTTATTTATTTATTTTTATTCACACCTGTCAAAATGGTAATGACAACCAGTGAATGTGAGGTTGATTGGAAAAAATAATGTCATGAAATTCATTACGAGGATCAGTGCCCAGCGGCTCCTCACTCGGCGTGATATCTACATTAGGCGAGGAGGTCCCTCATCCAGCTCCTCTTCAGTCTCCTACAGACGTTACCTGGCATATTCGTAGTGGCCATGTCATTTATAAGTGTATTGGGATGTCCTTGTAAGTTGTCATGGAATCGTTTATAATGAGTTCGTATGTGTTCGTTAACAGTCGGCATATGGAGGTCAGTATGTAAGGTTATGTTGCTAACGTACCAAGGTGCTTTTGTAATTGTTCTGAATGTTTTTGCTTGAAAGATTTGAAGTTTGTTTAAGTGAGTCTTTTTAGCAGTTCCAAATATCTGTGATGAGTAAGTCCAAATAGGTTTTAGTAAGTAATTGTATGTGTTCAATTTCTGTCTAAGTTTTAATTTTGAATTTTTCGAAAGAAGTGAGTTCAGAATTCTTAATCTTTGATTTAGAGTTTTTCGTTTTTTGATTATATGTGGACCCCACGTCATTTCTCTGTCAACTGTCAGACCAAGGTAATAAACGGTGTCTGTCTGTGGAATCTGTGTATTGTCAAGGAAAACTGGAGGGCATGTTTCATGTCGAAGCGTAAATGTGATTTTTCTTGATTTAGTTGGATTTTCCAAATTTTGAACCAATCATGTAATCTTGTTAAATACTGCTGTAGGGTCTGTGAGGCGTATGTTGGATTTTTGTGTCTCGCTAAAATTGCTGTGTTGTCTGCATATGTTGCTGTTAAAATGTTGGGACTGCAAGGTATGTCATGGGTGTATGTGATATAGAGTAGTGGAGCGAGTACTGAACCTTGAGGTACTCCTGCTCAGATAGACCTGATGGAAGATAGTGTCGGACCTCATTTTATAAGCTTTAAGTACATATTAATTAAATTCAGATTAGGAAAATGTACTCCTGTTTTCTACAAAAGTGAGTACAATTAACTATTGCAAAGCTTTTATTTCTTTTTTTTCGTAATATGGAATCTATTGTAATAAATGTAATTGCCTAAAAGCACATTTTATTTATAAATATAAAAAACATTACATTTTATTTCTTGTAGATCTCGATGTCTACTATCAAGCTTCTAAATATTTCTCTCAACTAGACCGTAGTACAGATCCCATTTTTATCAAATTATTAACATCCGGCTGACACTATGTAAATATCATCGTCTCATCGTAATCTACAACTATTTTATTTACTAAAATTCTAGGAATTGGGGCGCTTTCAATCTGGATGGGTACAAACTTTGTCTATTTAATTAGGTACTAAAATCTCTTAAATACTCATTGGTTTTCCATTTAAATCGTCTGAGCACAAAGTAAAGAAAAAAGGTGGCCTTCAAGAATATTGAGCCGTTTGGCCTATATAACATCGTTATTTTGACTATTTGGGGGTGTAGGTTAAATGGCTCGATATTTATGAAGGCCACCTGTTTTCTTGACTTTATGCTCAAGCTATCTTACGATTCAAGTGGAAAGCTAATGAATATTTACGAGATTTTAGCACATAATTAATTAGACAAAATTTAAAAGGGTTCTGCCGGATGTCACTAATTCATAAAAAATTAGTACCACGAACTGTTTTTAAGGACAATAAATCATTTGTATATTTCCTGTAATCTTATCTGATTTCAGTCAAACACTAATGATTTTGTTGTTTCAGATTCATTCTTTGATAAAGACTTCAATGATGATTTGCATAAGTACTTTAAAAAGGAACTTAATAAGGTAACATTGGACTGTTTATTCGATATATGTTATCGTTATATATAATAAGGTGCCATCTTAAATAATCTTGATAGTAAATTATTTTTTTAATGTACAATATATACATATATATATATATATATATATATATAATATATATATATATATATATATATATATATTTATATACAGCTGTAAAAGGCATACAAAATTATTTCTTTGTGATTGCTTCGATTTACATCTTTGCAGTCAGCCCTGATGATGGCCTGAACTTCAGGTCGAAACCTCGGCAAATGTCAAAATAAATATAATCATTTATTTTTGCCTTCTTACTTGACTGATCACTCCAACTATTCTTCTCTTCAAAATTATTTCTTGTACTAGATTGTTAGGAAAGTCATCAACCCTGAATTTTTACTTTCATTTACCTTATGTAATATATAGTAAGAGTAAGTATTGCGATCGGGAAAACTTTCAAATCTGAGTTCTCCATATGAGTCCACATAACCAAGTCCTGCAATATGGTGTGTGTATGTATGAATGTGAACAGACTTGCTCAAAAACGAAAAGCTGTAAGAAACTGAAATTGCGTATTTCAGATTTTTATAATCCTTAGATGTTACATTTTTGTCAAAATCGGCAAGTGGTACTTTATATAACCGACTTAACACATCTTTACGATTTTCTCAAAAATGGCTGTGACATTTTTGATTAAACTCAGTATGTCAGTGTATTATTAAGCAGTTTTTGATATAATGTAGGTTTTGTTCTCATTGATATTCTCTAACAGAGCTTAAATAGCTAATTTTCAATATTAGCTTGCTCTAAACTAGCTTTAATTTTTTTTATTTGAAATAATTAACCATTTCGCATTAATTTTTAATAGAGAAAATAGTTAAATATAAAATATGGAGGAATTAGATAATTAACTAAAGGAAAAATAAGTGATCGTAACCGATAATATTTATAATGCAAGAACCAAACGAATACCAGCGAATCCGAGCTCACCCAAAATGCAATACGGACTCTGGCAATAATATGTACATATACATATACGGTTTTAATGAATTCTATAGTTGGTATTATTTAATATTTAATTGTATAGAATGGCGATATAAAAATTACAATATATATATATATAGAAAGGGTATTTTAATTAAATAAAAATACACACAATGAAATGTAAATAAATATAGCGTCTATAATTTTTATTTTCACTTCCGCTTTGTCTGAAAATACTCATTTCGGCTAGGAAGAGGGTGGTAAGTGAAAGTTGTGAGCCCACCAGATTTTTTTTAATACTAATTAAACTTAACAAAAATGCTCACTAAATTCAATTCCATCGAGAACCCTTTACTTTTTTTTAAAAAATACAGAAATTATGATAATCATCGAAATATATACCCCCTCAACCAAAACAATAGCATTTTCTACCAAGTCCTGGCGGATGTAGACAGAGCTATCAATCATTGTGCAGATTCATAGAAGAATTTAAAACAGACTTTTTAAAATAAAATCTTTATAATAATAATAATAAAAGGCTTAGCGAACCCGAAGGTTCGATGCCGACACCACCAATCGCTTATTACACACCTCCCTCCACCGTTCGCCGTCCAAACCCACTCCCTTCAGATCAAAAAAAAAAAATATATTTATACATTAATATATTCATTCTTTGATAATTTAACAATAGGTACAGTATATAACTTCAATGGAAGTCATGGACTATCGATAATAAAATAAAATCAATTTTTTGGGAGTAAAACTATAGGTTTCAGACAAATTTTAATCATATTTGTATAATTTTTTCTAATCTTTTTCTTATTTTTTTTCTGGTTTCAGACTTACACACCTCCTACACACCATTGGCCTTTTTGGAAATATTTGCGTAAGTAAAATTGTTTAAACTTCTTTTTAATTTTATAAACTAGTAGCTAATTATTTTAATTGTATGTATATTCCTAAAATATTAAGAGTATTCTCATTCTGTGGCCACGTTTCATAACTGAACCGTTACCTTGAAATTGTCATCCATTAGTTTGAACATAACTTAACATTCAGACAACCAAATATAATTGTGTATATATATTTATATGTGCACCTTCAATTAAATGAAGTAAATTGTCCCATTACCCTGAAATAGTACCTATATATCCGTACATATATTATTACAGTATGGCTCGAAATCGGTTTTGTACCAAATATAAGTTCCTGTCATGCTCAAATACAACGAATGGGGTATCGTTGGATTCAGAATTTCACGGGGGGTTAGCGAATCGTATTCTCCACTTTCGTTTTTCTTTCTAAAATAAATAAAGTCGATACAAACATTTTGCTAGGCTTCGATACTGGAACGGTGGTAGGTCTGTAGATCGATACAGGACAAATTGGATCTTAAAGATTTTGATACGTACAACAAGACCCGGATAGTTCTTTCGGAACTATCGGATCCTTCGTTTTAAAACCAAAAAACGTACTATTTTCGAGATAACGCAAGACATAGGGTTCGCATCCACACAACCTTAAATTAATTGTATTACTGTCATTGAATACATATCTCATTTCGTCGACTTGAGGTCTCTATGATCGAGAGAGGAGGAATTTACATTATTTATCGATGGTGTTTTTGATCGGTAAGCCGTATAATCGTTAATTTTTCAACAAATCTCAAGATTGAGCCACCAATTTCGAAGGCTTCGTTCTCTTTCAGACTGGAAAAACAGTCCAATCACCCAGAAAATTCCGGCAAACAAGTTATGAAAGAAAATAAACTTTATTTGCGAATAATTGAAAAATTACACACTTTTCCCTTGGTTATGCCTATAATTATATAAAACATTACTAAAGGAAAAAAAAATCATCGCAATCGGGCAATTTTAAGCAAATATACAGCTTACTGAAATTTGTAAATACGTTGGTTCCAAACAAAAATGAAGATTTAAATTAATTTTTGTTTGCTTTGTGGATTATATTTATCGATAAAGTAACATTTGATGTCTTAATCTTTTGATAAGTTGCATTTTCTTATTAATTTGGCATTTGATAACAATATGCTGTGCGAATTTTTCGCACGGGCCTACTAGTAAAATAAACACATCTTTCATATGAGTAGAAATAAAATTTTCAGATTAGACAATTTCCAATTGTGTTTTACGTTTTAGACATCAAGGAACTGCTTTCGTGTTTAACATCTTTGAATCTTAAATTTTCTCGGATTATGAGGTTTATTTCCTAAATGGTTACATGTTAACTCTACCCTACTTTCGCTAATTCATGCGCAAATATATTTCCTTTAGCAAGTCAATAATACATTAATAATTCAGAACAATTCTCATCCAACGTAACAAAAAATCTCTTCCCTAGATATGATTCATTTAAAAATGAAAATCGCCCTAGCTCATGACCAAAATTGAGGCTATTTTCTTTTAAATTATTAATTTGTTAAGTGTTCTTGTCCGGTTTTATCAACCCATAAAATATAGTAAACTATCTGAACACAGAAAATTTATCCATAAGAAGGGAATTTTTTTTTAATGATACATATCTAGTTAATATTCTTTTATACCTGAAAAGGCGCATGAAGCAGAAACATCGATAATGATGAAAGGATATTAGAGGAAGGAATTTTGTAAGCGATTTTAGGGCAATAATCATTAATATATAATATTTAAAAATATATTTCGATCTACTACTGTGGAGAAAAAACTAACGTGTGTGCTTTAGACCACACGATTTAAGGGAAAACTTCAACAAGACGAGATTAATGATACAAAATTTAAATTATAAATAATAGCTCATTACAAAGAAGATGAAATGTTGAACATTTTCTTCGCTTCCAGTATGCAGATCCGATTTTTAGTATCTGAAATATTTTAATCCATATGTTCAACTAACCTCGTTATCATTTGGTTTTCGACACTATCTTTTTCCTTTTCGCCTCTCTAACACGGCGTCGCGTCAAGATAGAATTTTGAATTATAGCCTATTACAGAGAGGATGAAATGTTTAAAATTTCTCTAGCTTACAGTTTACAAAATTTCAATTAGTCGATTCTAGCCGACTTTACCCGAGCGTTAAAATCTGACGGATCAATCTAATTCCCTCTCCACATAAAACGCGCTTCAAGAAGTTTTTATTTCAAAAATCTGTCTAGAATTTTGCAAATTTTCAATGTCGGGGCAACATCAATTTTAATTTAAATAAATGTTTTTTTAATAATTTATTGTAGTATTTTTTGCTGTAAACACGGGTACTAATAGGTGAAATAATAGAAAATTACAACATTATTTTTACATACTGTACTCACTTTTTTCTAAATCAAAATTGAAAATTAGACAAAAACTAAATACATACACTTACCTGCTCAAACCCATTTGGACATACGCCTCACAGATTTACGGTTCAGCAAAAAAGAGTCACTTACAAAAACTACAATCCTTTCAATCAAAAATTTTACGACTTATAACAGGAGCTCCTTGGTACGTCAACAACAAAACTTTACATAACGACTTACAACAACCAACTATCGACCAACACATATGCGATCTCTACTCCAGATTTCATCTTAAAATACACGGACATCACAATGGACTTGTCAACGACATGGCCACGGCTGAAATGCTCATCAGGAGGCGACTGAAAAGGAGCTGGATGAGAGATCTCCTAGGTTCCATTCTTCGTCATGCCTATCATACCATTTTCTACATGACCACCAATCTGCTAATTGTCACTACCATGACAGGTGCGAATGAAAAATTGAAGAAAAAAAAAATTTACACATTTATTTATCATGTGAATCTCAATTTTTTTTTTTAATAAACCCTCAACATAATTGATATGAACTAAAATTTATTAAACGAAGAAGTTTTTTTAAAAGTGGAGTATTTACTGTATAATTAGAGGATGATAAAAAAGAAAAAAAAATTAAAAACATACTTTATTTAGCTTGATATACCAAAAACAAATATTATTTTCATTTGAAGTAAATTTTTTCTAAATTACAGTGAAGCAATTGTTAATTCCTTTTTTTTTTTGTCTTAATATTTCCATCCACACCTCTCATGAGCTTGACAATAAGCAGATGAGCTGTAACTTATAAGAACAAAATTACGTTTTAGGCATGAGGAAAAAATAGTACCCAGCGGCACCTCTTCCTGGTCTTGATTTATTTCCTTAATTCAAGAAAGGAGATCTCTCATCCAGCTCCTCTTTAGTCGTCTCCTGATAGGCATGTCAGCTGTGGCCATGTCGTTAATAAGTCCGTTGTGATGTCCGTGTAGTTTAAGATGAAATCTGGAGTAGAGATCGCGTATGTGTTGGTCAATAGTTGGTTGTCGTAAGTCGTTATGTAAAGTTTTGTTGTTGACGTACCAAGGAGCTCCTGTTATAAGTCGTAAAATTTTGGATTGAAATGACTGCAGTTTTTGTAAGTGTGTCTTTTTTTTCTGAATCGTAAATTAATGAGGCGCATGTCCGTATGGGTTTGAGTAGGTAAGTGTATATATTGAGTTTTTTTCTGATTTTCAATTTTGATTTGGAAAAAAAGTGAGTACAGTATTTTCAGTCGGTTGTTCAAGGCCTGTCGTTTTGCTAATTACTTAAATTGAATATTTCTTTAGTAATCCTTTCCTCAAGAAAAACATAAATCACTTAAAAACACAAAACTTTGTATAACATACATTTCTACCGAAAAATAACAATGCTTATATATACTTGTTTGTAGCTTGATGTGTAATATCACTGCTATAAATATTTGAATATACTTACAGATATCCGGTATTAGCATCTCTGGATAATATTTCACTTAAACTAAATATTAAAATTAGCGCCATTTAAATTCTATCGTATGGCACAAGTGTTATCTTTGCCTCATTTGCCTGTTTGTTCCATCCCAGAGGATAAGTAAATATAATGTTAACTTTTTAAAGTATTTTGTTATATATTCTAATAAACTGGTTATTTGTAAATTTATTATTAATTTAATTGTTTATTTTTTTTTTTTTGCAGTTTTAATAAAATCTATCATTGGACTTGTATATTATTCTTTACGTTGCTATTATAGAGAGCAAGAAAAACTTGAAGCGAAGGCAGACGAAGAAAGAATATGCAATATAACATGATATTGGAGCGAAAACCTTTTAAAGGAAACTGTTTGAGAAATAACAATGATCAAATGGTCAATCAATCAAAATGCCATTTACTAATATTTTAGTACGAGGTATGGACCACTTTTTATCAAATTATTAACATCCGGCAAAATATTTGTGAATAGGTCCATTGTGAATGAAACAATCCAAACTATACAGCCATGAATTGTGAATGAAACAATCCAAACTATACATCCATGAATCGTGAATGAAACAATCCAAACTATACAGCCATGAATTGTGAATGAAACAATCCAAACTATACATCCATGAATCTCACATAAGTGAACATTTAACATGCCAACGTTTCGTCAATTCAGGTATCATCAGGGCAGGACAAAAAAGATCAATATATGAAGAAAGAAATCAAAATAACCATTTGCTATTGAAATCTCTTCAACCCATCCAAAAACATACTGAAGGAAATAGGAGTGGAAGGTTATATAAAACAGCTGAATAGTGGAGATACAGAAAAAAAAATCTGGCGAGTCTACTCACATGATTTTCCTACCTATTTCAGAAAAGTGTTTATATCTTTAAACATGTCCATAAGGAAGAAAAAAAAATGGAATTAGATATATTTTCCTAAAAATTGATTCAAAGAAAAGATTTGAGTACGATTTCTTTGATAAACTAAAGCAATGTAAACTGGCTTGTGTTATGTCAGTGCAAAAATTTCAATACCCTCTAATATTCCTAATCGAAACATTTTTTCCATAGCCTATAATTTTGTCACACAATAATTTATGTTAAAATTAGAGGAAATGGTAAAGCTTGTGCGATGCGGGCAACAGATTTTCATACTATCACTTTGATATTTGCTGAATGCCTCACTAGTTCCCGAGAAAATCTTGGCACAAACAGACAGACAGAAAAATGGCTAAAAATGTATTTTTCGGACTCAGAGGGTTTTGAAAAGTATAGATCCGTCGAAAACCGTATATCGAAAATTTGGCCTGATACTTTTCTTACCTAGTATAGGTATAAAAGTAAAAACTTATACTGAAAATATAATAATATACTAAAATTTTTCAATAAAAATATGTTTCTTTTCGATTTTTTTTGCTTATTTTATTAATATTATTTGTGGAGTAGCCGTGTATCCACTAAGTTTTGTAAGGTCTTTATATTTTATACATTTCGAGCTTTTTTATGTATTTATTAATTTGTTATTTCTTTTTTCAATTTAATTTTACTGACAAATATTTGTATCATTATATTTCAAGTATATGTATATTTTTTTTTCTTCCTGTATTCCTGCTAATCAGCTGTATAACCTTTCTATACTGTTTTCTTCAGTATATTTATGGATGGGTTGATGAGATGTCAGTATTAAATGGATTTTTTTTTTTTTTTTGTTTCATTTTTGTAATCTTGTTTTTCTGCCCTGATGATAACTGATTTGTTGATTGTGAACAAGTGTTCACTTATATCTTGGAAACTAATGACTTTATAGTTGGGATTGAAACCATCAACTTATTTTTTTAAGGAAATTTGTAAACTTCCTCTATTTAATGAAATATTAAAAATGAATAATCATATGCCTTCCAATTGAATCGTAAGATAATTTGAATACAAAATCGAGAAGAAAAGTGGCCTTCAAAAATGTTTGGATGTTTGGGTGACCTCGATTCTCCACTTGTCAAATTTTTTTTCCGAATGCTCTGTCTAATAAACTTACGATTCAAGTGGAAATCGAATGGGATTTGATCATTTTTTAGTATTTCATTAAAGTAATTAATTTAATGAGAACACGCCATATTTCTAAAAATTTTTGTAGATAAAAATAGCTTTAGGCGAATATTAGTAAATTTATAAAAAGTATATAACAAAAATATTATATATATATATATATATATATATATATATATATATATATATATATATGGTTTAGCTTTGTCATGGAGCTAGAAATATATGGAGAAGTGCAGATATATCATTTCATGGAGGGAAGAATAACTCCTTACACACTAAGGCTATGCAATCCGCAATACAATTCCTATCTTGAGGGTTTTAGACTACCAATCCCCTTTGTACAAATTATACAACTGTTCACTTAATTGTATAATTTGTATTTGTATAACTACTCGCTGCTTAAATTGTATAATTGTAATTCACATGTATTCTGTAGTTCAAATTGTATTATTTTTTATCAACATAGAATAAACGGAACGAAATCATAGTTTCGACAAATTTTTAATTCTTTTAAAAATATATATTATTTACGCCTTTTAGCCAATATATATTATTATGTAATTATCATTATTCTTTTTGCCAATTTGTAACCATAATATATATTTAACTTGTCCAGCTTCATCAACATCAATTTGAAGCTTTTATTTCTAATAATTTCATTGCGCTTCCTTTTCTATTTAATATTAATTATAATTACTAGTGTGTAAATCACTCCCACTGGTGGAAGGAAAGGCAGAATCCTAGGAGATCCCATCGGCTCTAGCTAAGTTGCATTACTGGTATTAAGGAGCAGTTGAGGCTGATCAGATGATATAAAAAAATAGATAAAAGGAATATTAAATAATTAAATAAGGGTATATTTTTTTATTTTTATAAAACTTAAGTAATTATTTACACAAAATTTCTTTAAAATAGTAAATTCACTTATTTTAATTTAGATATTTCTCTATTGGTACACAATACTTTAAATATTTTAATGTGAACTGCTTCAGAAAATTTTCAATATTGTAAACATTTAATTTGAGATATTAATAAATATAGGTGTGTATGTTGTTTTTTAAAAATTTACTTATCTTTAAGTTATTATATATTTATTTATTGTATATACTTTTTGATAATTATTTAACTTTTATTTTATATTTTTATATGTATAATGTGTGAATGTGGTCTTACCTCACTGTAGCTATTGTCTACAGAATGTTATATTACTAAAAAAAAATATGATACATTGAAATTTCATTTAAAAAAATAAATAAAAACAAGAGATGATTATAACTTTTATATTTTGATTTTCGCCTCAAATTTATATTTTCGTAGGAATACTTTATATAATACACGTTTATAGTATTATCCATTTATTTTCTTACTGTTTCGTAAATGTTTTCAATAATCAAAAAAATTATTTTTACGCATTTATGTTATGTCTATATTTTGTACACTAATAAATAGGTAGATAATAAATTCGTGTTATTAAAAATATTTCTAACAATATATAAGATTAGTACAACCGATAGGTTTAAACTATCTTTTCCTAATATCTCGTGAACCATACACTTGCTTGTAAATTGGAAATCTGCAATTGATTTTGATTTCAGGTTTCTCTATGCTAAAATTCAATAACTGTTTTCAATAATCATGTTATTATTAATGTATTTTTTTATTAGAAGAAAATCTTTTTTGATTTTTTATATTTTTAATATTACCTATTCAGCGTTTATGACTACGTAATACAGTTTTTTGTTTATTTATTTAGTTATTTGTAACTAATGGTTGTGCTATACATAATAAATTTATGTATATATTGTATTTATTTGTTGTAAAATTGTTTTTAGATACAAACGATTTAATTTTTTGTACATTTATATCCTTAACCATCTCCAAGAACATTTCCCAGACAAGCATTTTTTATTATTTGTTCTATTCTAAATACAAATAAAAAATCTAAATATATGTAATATAAAAAAAAAACATAATTATTAAATATTATCTAAATCATTTTGGTCGATATTGAAAACGGAAATTACTTTTGTAACTTTCATTACATTACAAGGAATCGTTTGTGGATTCGTCAGAATGTAAACTTATATCGAAACCAATGTCTATTTGATTATTGATGTCATCCTCCATTATATATTCATTAATGTCTGGACTGATTTTGCATTACATATACTCCCGTTCACTATAGTAAAAAGCATTTCATAAGTAATATTGATAGTATGGTCGCCAATATAAATATTATTAGCAACCAAGTCACCAATTAATTTATCTATATAGGCCTTTTTTTGTGAAATCAATGTAGGTAGCTCTTTAAATAAACTGAAGCGAAAATAAATTTTACAGGCCGACAATAGTGTACAGATGATAGAGCTGGATTAATCCACTTAATGTTACCTGTGCCGTCAACAATATGCAAAGGAACAAGAGCAAAGAAAAAAGGATATTCATCAGGATCTTCAACAGTCCGGAATTTTTGTATATACATGTTATGCCCACAGCTTCCATCGAATCCCCATTTACATATTAGTTTTAGAGAATCATAAAAACCTTTGCCAAACGACCCGATAATGTATTCTGCCGTTTGATTAAGTAATTTCTGTACATCTATGGCAGCATGATTATCAGACACATCTATATTGCCGGGTATTCGTTGATTTCGAAATTTTTAAAATTATAATTACTAGGCCTACCAACTACATACTTCCTCTTTATCTGGTCCTACCTTACTGATAGATGCTTTAAAGTAAATCAGAAAAATTCTTATTCATCCCATTTTTCCCAGTCTGCTGGTGTTCCTCAAGGTAGTATTCTTGGTCCTATCCTCTACACAGTTTATACAGCTGACATCCCAAAGGGTTCCTGACACTGTCATCACCAAATATACTGATGATATATGTATCCTATCTGTTAATAATGATCCATCTACTGCATCGAAAACTCTCAATCATATATTACAAACCTTGAAGAATGGTGTAAAACCTGGAGAATTAAAATAAATTCCAATAAATCCCATCAAATAACCTTCATTCTTCGTCGTAAACATATGACTTCCTGTTCTACAGCATCACTTAATAATTCCTCACTTATACATTTGAACATTTGAATAGAGTTGAACAAATCCGTTACCTAGGACTCTACCTGGACAAACGACTCACATAGAATCCTCATACAAGACTAAAACGACAAGAAACTGCTCGACGTTTCCGACTACTCCAACACTTACTAGACAAACGACTCATATATATGACAATAATAAGACCTGTTTGGACTTACGGAATTGAGCTTTGGGGCTCCACTAAACCATCGAATTCCTCTCGTATCCAATCCTTACAATCCAAAATCCTTCGTAAAATCCTCAACGCTCCTTACTTTG